TTGTTTCCAATATTTTTAATTATAACTTAATTAAAAAAAATTGACTTCTTTATCACCTCTATTCATATTTGCCAGACAGAATAATCTTAATCCCTCTTTACTTTGACAGCTCTTCAAATTTATGCATCAGCTCTATCTCCAAATATCTCTACTACCAATTAAAAATAGATTGTTTTATGACAGGACCTAGAGATATTTTCTTTGATGTTTATAAGTCCTTGAGAAGTAAAAAAATTAATTAGCATCTCTGACATGTACTTTCATTTTAGAGACCTTCATGGGCCTCTGGTAACCCTTCCTGAAAAAGGTCTTGCAATCAGAATTACTCCTGGTTTTTTTGTTTGTTTTTCTTTTCTATTTGACCACACAAGAATAAGAAGCTGTCTTCTTTTTTTTTTTCTTTTCTTTTCTTTTCTTTCTTCTTCTTCTTCTTTTTTTTTTTTTTTTAGGGAGAGAGAGAGCAATGTGAGCTGGACAGCCAAGACAGGGTTGGGGGGGCTGGGGCTTGTGGAGGCAGAGGGAGAGGAACAGAGAGAATTTTAAGCAGGCTCCATGCCCAGTGTGGAACCTGACACTGGGCTCCATCTCATGACCCTGAGATCATGACCTGAGCCAAAATCAAGAGACTGACTGAGCCACCCAGGCACCCTGAATAGGAAGCTGTCTTAACAGAATTTCTAATACCTGGATAGTCAGATAGTTCTTCAAATTAATCAGCTTAGGTATTTTAAATTAAGTGAAAATAAATAAATAACTAATAGACCATGCAGTTCTTTTGCCAAACTATATGCAACAATTTAGAATGATAGTTTAATGGATGAAATAATATATACTTGATAATTATTATTTCAGGTATGGCCTAGTTTACAGTTATCTTGTTTTAAAGGAAGAGGAAACCAGGTGATGGCAATAACTGACGAGATAAGTTGACACTTGAAAATCAAGTTATGTAAAGGAAACAATCTTATGATAGTAATTTCTGAATCATTAAGTTCTAGCTCATAAAATGAAATGTCTGCAGTGAATATTTTAATTATGATATTTTTCAATTATAAAATCAGATCATTAAGATTCAGTTATAATCTTGCCCCTAGAGTATTTCTGATATATTTGCAATCATGCAATGTATGCCTTAATAACATGTCACCAATACTGCAGGTTTATCTTTCTACATAGGATTCTGCATTATATCACTTATTCTGTAATAACCTAAATGATAACTTCTTGAAAACATGCAGTCGAATACTTTAACTATTTCTCTGTTATTGACTACTTATTTTCAACTTTTAATATATTACCTAAAGCTATCATGTGTACCTTTCCACATATAATATTTGACTCTGTTTTAAATGAGAAAATTGTGTGTTTTTTTTTTCTATTAAAGAACTCATCAACTTATTTTGAGTGTCTGGAATTACTGTATTTAAATTTAAGTTTTTTTGTGTTTCTGCACCTGTGTGTTTGTGTGTGGTGTGTGTTAGCAGCATGATTTGCTCATCGCTCAGCAAGTTTTAGTATTTCCGTTTCTTTTTTATTATTATTAGCTATGTGTCTTTGAGGAAATTAATTTCTCCGATCTTCAATTTAAATATTACTTCTTACAACATATTCCCCTTGTTTTATCCCCTTATTTGTACTTGACTGCTCTGATTTACTCTTGTTTTATTGGCAAACATCCTACCCAAGTTTAATGGCTGTGTTTATGTGTTCTGTAATGTAAGTTGATTATATTTCTTCTGCAAAATTTTCAGCACATGCAGACCAACTGTTCCTCTAGCCAATGCCAGAAGGACACAGTTAATCCCTGGATATACTTGCATCACCTCTTGGGAAAAAGAATTGTGACTAGAGTAACTCTGGAAGACTAAATATTTTTACTAAACAGTCTTTAAGTCCTTGAAGAAAAACCATATAAATCAGCCACTATGGGAAGCTAAACTCTATGTATCCTCAACATTTAAGTTAAATGGAGCCTGTATAAGAAGACATGGAATATTGTTAAGAGGAAAATGCAAGGATTTTTTGTTTTAACTCTAATCTAGTAGATGGGGGACTGTTAGACTACAGTTGTAGAAAAATGCAGAAGCTCCATTTCATTTGCACATCTGAGTAAATGTGAGTGAACTAGTATTAGGATGTAAAGGCCTTAAGAGAGCCCTAACCAGTGTCCCATTGCCTCAGAGATATTCACTGAGGCAATCAAACTCTCTCCTTACCACAAGAAATGTGAAGAATTAGCCAAGAGTAAAAAGTCGACAGGTTTACAAGAGCTTAACAAAAATCTAAATGATGTGTACCTACAACTGGAAACATTTAGGAATTCAACGGATGCCAACATGGATGCCAATGGTTGTACGTGATAGTTTCCACTCATCAGATGCCAGTGCGCATAGATACTTGTCATCAGAAGCCAGCTCCATAACTTGTCGTGACTCTATGAGCTCTTAGGTTTGATGTAATCACCAGGAAAAAAAGAAGTAAAAAGGAAAATCTTGAAATTATTTTGTTTCTAACTAATATGTTTCTAAATACTTAGAATATACTAACATTTTGCTTTTTGTGATTAGCTGGATTTAGAGCTAGAAATAGACATAGAGGTGGCTAAATGAAAATTCAAGAGAATAACATTTTCTTTCACACAATTGTATGTGGTCTGATAACTCCTAATGATACTAATGACACTATTAATAAAAAAAATCCTTTTTACTAATAATACTTTGGGCATTATAGTTTTCCTAACATCTCTCAATGTATGATTTTTTTTTCTTTTTGTTAATCTAATTTCTTTCCTAATAGCTTTTATATATAGAGTAGGTAAGGAAAGAGTGGGTATGATGTATGGAAAAAACATTCTTGGCTAACCCAGGAATACCAGGAGATGGGTATTAAAGAGGGCACGTAAATGGAGCACTGGGTGTTATACACAAACAATGAATCATGGAACACTGCATCAAAAACTAATGATGTAATGTATGGTGATTAACATAACATAAACAAAATTCCTGACAAATGATAAAGATAGAAATTGAGAGAGAAGTGAAGGAAGGCCATGTTTAAAGAAAGGAAATGAAGGCCAAGTTTTCAGACATGAATATCTTGATTTATCATTTTGAGGTTGGTAAACACGGGGGTGTATGTTATGTTAAAATCAAATGAAGTTTCATGGGAATTTCAGAATTGTGGACTGTGTTGATCATTTGTCAGGGTTTATGATCTGTCTCCAGTGTCTTCTGTGTACCAGTAACCAAATCCAAGTTTCTGTTCTAGACATTGTTTTTAAATCCTTGTTTATTTCTTCTCCCTGTGCCTGCCTCTCCTTAATGTAGGCTACCTTAAATTCTTCTGTAACAACAGGCTTGGTTGAGAAGATAAAACTTCTAATTAGGCCTTTGGCACAGGGTTAAGTGCCTTTATTTAATTGAGAAAATGTAATAGACCTTTGATAGTCAAATTTCTTTCATTTTTTTTTGTTATTGCATGGAATCAAGAAGCACTTGGCTTTTCCATTTATGCCCCACATTTCTAGATCTTCTCTATTCCTTCTTGTTTATACTTGAAAACTGTCCAATTTTAGGCACCTGATAATACATTGCAACAAAGAAGTAACATTAAGCAAACAAAACACAGTAACTTTCTGGCTCTTTCCAACTACTTTCTGTGAAACAGTGGGTTTCCTAGGTACTTGGTATGCTTTCCAAATTATTGCAGGCAACTAATAGATCAAATGTTTTGCCATTTTTTTTTTGTCTGTGATATTATTTTTTTTACCACCTCTTGTTTCATTGCTAAATCAATGATACATATTTTAGGTTTTGGTTATGATATCATGCTATTTAATAACACTCATCTTTATTACTGCATCTGAAGTACACACTTTTAAATGATGTTAACTAGGAAGCCAGTTTTCTCAAGACTATTTCTTAAGACTATCTATTACATTAGTATTTTTCCAACTTCTTTTTTGCGAAAACCCACAACAAAAAGCATAATATATATTGTCATCTAGTAAACATGCACGCACAATCACATGCATACCAAGTGGCTCAACTGGACATTACATCTAAACTGGGACTATTTCTGGCAAACCTGAATTTATGTGTATCCCAAATTCCCTCTCTGCTGCTAAACTGATTTTTCACAATAGATTTTTAAAAGTTGCTTGAAAAAAACTATTTAGCAGTGGTATGATAGGTTAGTCTCTTGAGAACTTAGGATCAACATGAATTTTGTATCTTTATTATGGTATTATATATATTAAATAGTGAATTTAATGATTAAAGCAAAAAAAATCATCCATCATATGATGACTGTTTTATTTAAAATTACATGTGCATTTTTTCAGTCAAAATATTTATCAAATGTTAAGTTGTAGCTTCATTCGATCTAACTTTAATAGTACTTGGAAAGGCTTGGGGTGCCTGGGTGGCTCAGTCATTAAGCGTCTGCCTTCGGTTCAGGTCATGATCCCAGGGTCCTGGGATGGAGCCCCGCATCAGGCTCCCTGCTCAGCGGGAAGCCTGTTTCTCCCTCTCCCACTCCCCCTGCTTATGTTCCCTCTCTCACTGTCTCTCTCTCTGTCAAATAAATAAATAAAAATCTTAGAAAAAAATAGTACTTGGAAAGGATTAAAAGTATACACTGGATAAAAAAATCAATTTTTTTACTATATGAAAGAGGTCTTTATAATTATAATGACAGTAATAAAAGATACATTCTTACAATTGAAGCATGGAGCTTTCTATAAAAAGAAGGTAAAGGCACTATGTAATTTCCTGAAGTTTAAAGTTTCATGGATGTGCATCTTAGTGCTGGAAGGAGAATAAATTCTAAAGTTGATTACCAAGACAAAAATAGAATATCATCATACGTATCCTTAAGCAAACCTTAAATAAAAAAGAAATGCAAATTTGAAAGCTCAAAAATCAAGAATTTTTGGTTTCTTTGTAGTTAAGCTGTGTTCCCTCAATTTGCAATCTTTTTGATGTTGTTTTAAGGCCCATTTATAGGACATTGCATGAACACAAAACTGTGTGGAAAATGCTGAAAACAATTCCAGATTTGACCTGTCAACTACCTGAGGAGCATCTGAAAACTCTCAGTAAGAGTGTCATTTCCGAAACCTGGGTAAAAGGCAGTACAGGTAAGAGACTAATCTGGAGGGAATTTGGCAACATAAAATGTATGTCACTATTTTGAGTTCTCTATGATATTGATATTTTCACTTGATACATTAAAATGTGCTGTTTGGGTGTATTTTGTTTGTAGTTATAAGTACTGAAATGAGTAACATTCCACATTTTAGTATGGATTTTTTAAAGATATACACTAGTGTTTTCTCCACCTTGAGCATGCATCAGAATCACCCAGAGCACTCAAATTGCTGTGTTCAATTCTAAAGTTTCTGATTTGGTAGGTGTGGAATGGGACTTAATTGCATTTCCAACAATTTTCCAGATGACACTGCTAGTATGGGGACTATACTTAGAAAACCACTCATTGATATACACATTTAATGTCAATCCAGTATTGGATTTCATAGTTATGACAGCAAACGGTCATAGCAATTATTTGACTTATCCAGATACTGACCCGGATATTGGGTACAAAACCTCTCCAGACAGATTTTAGTTTCCCAATTTTAAATTTCTAGTCCCTTTACCAAGGATACATTGGATACATTAATAGAAGTATTTTATACTGTAATTTTTGAGGGGTATACAAATGTCCACACACAGAGTCACACACACACCTAACCCGACAGAATTCAACACCATTTTTTGCATTTGTCAAATACCTATTAGAAAAGCAGAATTAAGTTTATATAATATATTCTTTATTTCAGGGGATATCCCTTATTTATTCATCACAGACACAAATAAAAGTAGATATTATTATTATTCTCCACAGTTGAGAACCCTAAGGCATAAAATATCATGCAGAATATTCCTGAATAGAATTGAATTTCAAACACACTTTAACTCATTCTCTATTATGCTACTGTTTTTATAAAGTGGTTCATCAGGATCATGTCTTAAAAATCTAACTGTAATTTCAGAGAACATGTGTCTATTGAAATATGTCATATATCTATTGACATATTTCAAGACTTTTCCCCCAGTGGTCATCTCTTATAATTAGTTTCATTTAATCTGACATCAAGCAGTGAAAATTAAATCATAGGAGTTTTGCAAAGGATAAAATGATTTTGAAAGGCAAGAAAGAACCTTCAACATTGCTTTGCATTAACTTGAGGATAGTAAGTTTAAAAGTTAATTTGTTTTTATCATAAATCCCTGAAATTATATTTATTATGGTAAAAATATGGAAACAACATAGATGACCTTCAATAGAAGATAGATTACAATGTGATACATCTCTTCCATGGAATAAAAGACAGACTACATTATGATACATGTATTCAATGGAATTCTAGGCAGTTGTTAAAAAGAATGAGGTAGATCTCCTGTATATTGACATGGAAACTTATTCAAATTATTAAAGACAGTAGATAAAAATAGAGCAATTGTGGAGTTATATAAATAATATGGTTATATTTTCACATATTTATGAGAACCTGAAGTTATATTTACATATATATCTGCATATATACATATATAAAAATTCATAGTAAAAAGTACACAGAGGTAGATCCAGAAAAACAGTAAAAAATATGTATTTTAAAAACTGTTACCTTGGTGGAGGGGAGAATTGAGGGACAGTGAAGAATTAGCTCTTTCTTCTACATATATTTGTGTTGAATTTTTCACAATAAAGGTATATTCATGGGTAAGAGTTTTGTAACCACATATTTGTTTTTTCAAAAAGGTTTTAAAATTATATTTCGAAGCAAAAACTGTATTCTGGTGGTATCCTGTAACTTGGGTGACTGACTATTAAAATGTGAACTTTCATTCCTTGACAAATGCATATCAACTTTAATTTGATCTTTCATATTAAATACGGTTTCAATTCATATTTCAATAGAGCATATTTTCAAACACTTTATAAAAAAATGTAGAAGTCTGTCTTTGCATATACCTGTGTCAGAATCATTCTCTTGAGTTTTTAAGACATCTGATTCAGACAGTCCAGATTTGTTTCACTATCAAAGTAGTCAACTCATTAAATATCTGACCTTTGTAAATCTCTTCATTCATCCAACTTAAAAAACAGGTACAACCAAGTGTTTCTCTCTTTTCTTTACTCATGTGTGTCTTTCACCCCCTCTGCTATTATTTAAAGTATTCCCCCTAGTAGCCCCTCATCACCAGGCTGCTGATTTCAATCTGTGGCTAAGGCTTTGGTTTCTCTCCTACAATTCCACATAGCTCTTTGCACCTTCTGGTCTCTTCTGGCAAGTTCTTTGGAGCTTTGTTATTTAAGGCAGCTTCCTAAACGCCCCATTACTCACTCAGCATCTCACTCAGCTTTCTTAAACAATAAAGTATTAACAGGATGACAGTATTATGATTTTAAGTACTGGCTAACACATATATAATTACTATAATAAGATTACTTATATTACCATATTATTAGACATATTACTATGTCTAAATATTACCTATATTGCTGTAATAAAAATACTATATAAGGTATATATTGTGTTTAATAATCACTCTCTGTATGCTATATAGATATATAGCCCAAGATATGTGTTACTTAATTCAAGTGGTTTCAAGAATTTTCCATTGGATCTCTTATAATATGGCCTGAGCAGCAGGCATTTTTATGATTGGCAACCTAAAGCTCATGAAAGCTAAGAGAATTAACTTACTTCAGAATTCAATTTAGTGGCTAACATGGAATTAGATCCCAGATCAAAATTTTATTACTGTCTACCTTTATATTAACTTTGATAGATTTCCAAGAAATAATTACTATAAGGGATTTTTTTCTTTTATATCTTTATCATCTTTACTGTTTTCTTTTTGAAGTCCATTAAGTCTTATGAGGTTATTTCTTTTTTTTTATTTTATTTTATTATGTTAGTCACCATACATTACATCATTAGTTTTTGATGTAGTGTTCCATGATTCATTGTTTGCGTATAACACCCAGTGCTCCATTCAATACATGCCCTCTTTAATACCCATCACCGGGCTAAAAAAAAAAAAATACCCATCACCGGACTAACCCATCCCCCCAACCCCCTCCCCTCTAGAACCCTCAGTTTGTTTCTCAGAGTCCATAGTCTCTCATGGTTTGTCTCCCCCTCCGATTTCCCTCCCTTCATTTTTCCCTTCCTACTATCTTCTTTTTTTTTTTTAACATATAATATATTATTTGTTTCAGAGGTACAGGGTCTGTGATTCAACAGTCTTACACAATTCACAGCACTCACCACAGCACATATCTTCCCCACTGTCCATCACCCAGCCACCCCATCCCTCCCACTCCTCACCACTCCAGCAACCCTCAGTTTGTTTCCTGAGATTAAGAATTCCTCATATCGGTGAGATCATATGATTCTTGTCTTTCTCTGATTGACTTATTTCATTTAGCATAATACCCTCTAGTTCTATCCACATCATTGCAAATGGCAAGATTTCATTTTTTGAAGGCTGCATAATATTCCATAGTATATATATACCACATCTTCTTTATCCATTCATCTGTTGATGGACATCTTGGCTCTTTCCACAGTTTGGCTATTGTGGAAATTGCTGCTATAAACATCGGGGTGCATGTACCCTTTCGGATCACTACATTTGTATCTTTGGGGTAAATACCCAGTAGTGCAATTGCTGGGTCATAGGGTAGCTCTATTTTCAACTTTTTGAGGAACCTTCATGCTGTTTTCCAGAGTGGCTGTACCAGCTTGCATTCCCACCAGCAGTGTAGAAGGGTTCCCCTTTCTTTATGGGGTTATTTCTTTCATTTTATTTCATTTTACTCTCACCTTTTATGAGGTTATATCTCAAAAACACCATAGTTCCTCATTTAAATAAACTCCTGTATTTATTTTTAATGCTGAAAAATATTTTTATGTTACTAAATTTTAACATTTCTTCAGCCTATATAGACTTTCTTTTCTGTTGTGGTTTAAATTTCATGTAACATATAAAAACACAGTAGCCAAGTCTCATAAAAAATTTAGTGGGCATCTTTTCCATAAGTAAATTAACCATAATTCAAATAATATACTCTTATAATAGAAATAGGCAAATATTTAGGTCTATCGTAAAGATTAAGGTTCTCTTAAAAGCAAACATGCCTTGAAGAACATGCACTGATCCTAAAGTATGGATATACTTTCACTGCAACTAAGGTGGTGTTCCCTATGATTCATGAAGATTTGTCCTTGAAATCTGGCCAGAAAACTTTTTCAGTATTTATCTGCATTGTGAGTACCCAGTTCCATTTCTGTCTTTCCCTATCCAAGAGATGGTTGTAAGGCTTTGAGAAAATTAATGCAAACAAAAACAAAAACTCTTCAATCACATGGCAGTACCAGAAACCCTTGCCATGATATTTATTTCTTTAATGTTGCCATGGAATCTTACTTTCTAAATAGTGAAACTTATAACCAGGAATGATGTTAGAAATATCCAACACCTGATCAGAATGCTTGCTCCCCAAGGACAACAAATACCTGCTCTGAGCATTTGATACAGGAGTATCAGTAAGTATAGAAGCTCCATATGCATAACTTTCTCCATTTTTATTATTGGAATATTTTTAATTAATAAAAAACTACTGGGGTGCCTGGTGGTACAGTGGGTCAAGCTGGACAGCTCTTAGTTTCAGCTTAGGTCGTGATCTCAGCGTCATGAGATGGATCTCATTGGGATCTGCACTTAGCACAGTCTGTGTAAGACTCTTTCCCTCTCTCTCTGCCCCTCCCCTTGCTCGTGTGTGTGCTCTCTCTCTCTAACATAAATAAATAAATCTTTAAAAAAAACAAAAACAAAAACAACTACTTTTCAGGTTGCTTTATATAATTGTATTACTTTGTATCTAGGAATTAATATTTTTTTAAAATCTACCTGATTTTAATGAGAAAATAATCAGAATATAAATAATATATTTTAGCTTCTCTAGGCTAATTCTTGGATTGCCATATCTCAGAAGAGTTGACAGCTTTGTCCAATTATGAGGAGTTATTTTTAAATAAAGCTTTTTATGTACTTTGGTTATATG